GTTGATGCCGGCGCTAGCACTCATGACTCCTCGGGCGAAGATGTCGCTGCCACGCAGCACCGCCTCACCGCAGAGTCGGTCCACAACGATGCTCTTGAATTCCGGGTTATACTTGACAATGGTCTGTCCACTGGGCGACGACGGGATCATCAGCACGTCGGGCAGTGACGCATGGGCGAAGGCTTCAATTGGCTGGCGATTGGCATCCAGAGCAGCCAATTGGGTGTTGAATCCGTCCAGATGAGGCTTCAAAGCCTGCAAAGCTTCCTCCAGCGACAGCTTTAGTGTGTTGACTCGAACGGCGGTGAACGCGGGCCTGCATTGGGGAGGTTAGCACATTAAACTATGACATTTTTTTTTGGTCGACTGCTTTACGTACGGCCGGGCCAGAGCACGCTTGATATTGGTCCAATGAGGCTCGCCGTACGCATCGCCAAGCTCCTGCTCCACTTGGTCAGGGAAAGACACGGAGAAGGCGTCCAACGTGGTGGCGCCTACAACGCCAGAGGTGTCCTCGAGCGGCGCCATGATGAATGAATGGTGGAGTCTATGCAATAGAAATCAGCTCTATGATTGGTCGAAATGCGTCTCAGAAACGTTTCTTTCAGTTTGATATCGTGAATGATGTTCACATTCATGTTGAAGTTGAAGGGAGTGATGGTCACTTTGATCCGTCGGTTGATGCAGCTCATTTGCTAACTTACCAGCACCCCAACACGAATATCTGTACATCATGGCCTCGCGCGCCCGTACTTCATCGTTCTCGACGCAACGCATTGCGACTGCGTACAATGGACGCGGCAAGAAGTCCACAACTTGTGTGAATGCCACCCCGACCACAAAGCAAATGGCTGTGATAAACTGGGAGAATGTGCTCATTCCGATGGACTGGCTGTCCGTCTATCTGGGTCTTGGCACCTCACACGCAGCGGTCAAGACAGCCGTCGTTCGGTGTCAGAGCTCGCCAGAGTTGATACAGTCGCTAGCGGCGATCGAAACCCGGATCATGGAGCTGCTGACGGAATCCATGCGACTCGTGGGTGGGCCTGTGTTCATCGTCAGCGAGTACCCTACAATTTACGTAGAGCTAGTGTGTAGCCTCTTCTTCCCGCGGCTCACGGCGGCTTTACGCAATGCTACGAGTGGCATCTACGTCGTTGGCACACCCGACACGCAGCTGAGCACCCAGGAGATGAAACAATGGAAGGTCAACTTGCTGCACACCGCGATTCATGAGCATTTGTTTACCGGAATGAGTGGTGAAGCTACCTTAAACTTGCTTGCGCGCTCTGTGACTGGAAGAATCAAGGTGGTGGCCCTCTGCTCCAGCGATGCCGACGTAGTGGCAATTTCGGCAATCCACTTGATGGCGCCGAATGCTGTCGTTAAACACATTAAAACGCAAGGTGTGAGACCTGCGTTTTCCCGCTCGCCTCAAACGCCAGTGTCACTGGATGATTTTTATGCTCAGCTGCAGAGGCTTATGCAGTTCGTCAGACAAAGTGCGAGTTAATCTACGCGCTCAGGGTGCAACATTAAGTAGGTTATCGTCAACAACTCACTACAACTATTCTCGTTTGCTAATACACTGTTACAGAGTGCTTTTATTTCCCGGTACACAATAGTCGAGTCCGCATCATTCCTTCATACATTGCCACAGAAATGTGAGAGTGGCTATGTGGGGCTGAACGAAGATGGTGGAATGACAAGAGTGCGGTAAGGTGGATATAGCACTACGCATTTCTGGTCAGAGCAATCGTGTTTATCACGATCGTGCCCAGTCGTACTCAAGCAGTGCATTATTGCTGCGTACACTACAAGAGACGAAATATAGCATCAATTCTTGATGCTGTATTCAATTGCAAATATGTATGTCAATTATTGCCTAGGTCAAAACACAAGTGGTCATCATTGACTGGGAAAACGGTGCTGGTGCGGGTTCATTCTATTCACAACGAGCATTTTGTTATAAATCAAAGCTAACTTCCATAAATGCCGGCTCACTTTCTACGTATATCTTGCCTTTGATCTATCTACATGTAGTGTGCACCTGCTTGGGATATTGATGAAATAATGAACGATAAATGCCCTGGCATAGTATTTTTTTTTTAAAAAAATTAAACGGAGAAGTACGAAGGCAGTGCAGCGAATTGGGATCCGGTGTGCTATCGGCATGAAATGCTTTACGTATTCGCGCTGCTTGATACTCTGGCGCTAGCCACTGCTGTCGGTATACTGCTGGTTATTCCGAGCGAGAATTGCCCATTATTTATTAATTCTAAGAAGCTGAAAAGGTTTGACCCCGAGACTCTGTCTAGCACGAAATTATTATAGTCTTACATCGGTTCCAAAATAGCTTCAGCCTGTTGTTGGAGTAAGCAGGAGCAATGTGCAAGCTTATTATTGCCCATTACACGTAGTACTTCGATGAACTCAAGTAATATCAAAGCACAACGGGTATTCTCCCGAGTTCCGAATTCGTGACTTAAGCTCGGAGTTCCTGTTGTACTTAAACCAAGAGCTGAATTCATTTTTTCGCCATTGCCTTCTTTCCTCGTCTCTACTTATTGTGAAATGATCAATTTTACTGTTCCAAGCAACCACACTACTTGTATTATTCGTACATCACTGTTTCGAAGTATATTGTCGTCAAGAACCGCGAAATCCAGGTGAAAAGTGATTCCATACTATGATATTCCGACTCGTAAATCCATCCCCATTCCTGTGGTCTTGCGCAATGCGCAATG